CATTTGAAACCCTAGAAAATTGGGGACCATATCTCTCAAGCATTAGGTCTTACACACACTTGAACCTCTAATCCACACTCCTCAACGTGCTTCACTTGCTTCCATGTCTTTCTTGGTTCCTTTCTTTTTATATATATCGCTTCCCTTATTCTAACACAATTCAAATCACATATATTCCATTATTTACTTTTCTTTGTTTTAATCTGCTTTCTTCTTTTTCTTCTTTGTGTTAATTTCTTGACTGCGTTGAAAATGTTTCCAAAGGCCACTGCCACTTTATGCAACAAGTATGTCAATGAAGATGAATATTATTATACACCATTCCCATGCACTGATGGTGATGGTGATGATGATGATCAAGATTATGACTATGCTCCTGCAGCATCAATGGAGGGTGATGGCGATGATGATGACGACGACGATGACAAAGATTGTGCTCCGGCTGCGCTGCATGATGATGATTAATTCATCATTATCATCTTTAATGCTATATATTGCTACTATGAGTAGCGAGACTATTTGTTTTCAAGTGCAGGAAATCAAATCTGGGTGAATCTCTTTAATTAGAGTTTCCATTCCCTTCTTAATTCAAAGTTTCCATTGTGCTGAAATGGAAATATTGGTTTTTGTCTGGAAGGGAATCTATATCAAACCCTAGTTATGGGTTGATGAACGGTGGGTCTAAAATTAGGTTCGATAACAGATGCATGAGGGTGGAGGAGATACATTAGTTTTATCTCAACATTTGATCATTTATACTAATATTCAGTTCTTATATGTAAATCACTCTCTAATATGAAAATATTGCTTAATTAAGCACAATAGAAAATAAATAAGTACCTTGCAAGTTAATTTTATATTTACTATATATAGAACGATTATATTGACTTGTAGTAGTAGTAGTAGTATTTGTTTATGCTTAATGAAGATCTTGTGGTTTTAATTTGAAAATTAAATATTACTTTCAGTGAATTAGTGATGCAAGCAACAGCAGGTTTGTGTATATGTGTATATATGTGTATGTTCTTTAAACCAGTAAGAACCATAATTGAGCTTTTCCTTTGAATTTTGATGATGTAATGGAGGAATTTTTTTTTAACATATCTTTAGTTACCAATACAATAAAGCTGCTTCTGCAGGACTAAATTAATATTGAGTTCAAAAGCCCTTTGTTTACCATGTATAAGTAATTGAGTCAAACATATTAACCCCATATTGAGTTGAATAACCCTAATTTATATAGGAGTCTCTATAAGTTACTACGAAAAGTTGCTTTTGGCTTTCACAATTTAATTCTCAGTTCCCATTTGAATATATGAATCTTATGTTCAGTACATGGAATGAAATGGGAAATGGAATCCAAATTAATCATTCCGTTTGTTCATTAGCATAATTAAGGAGGGGGAATAGGAATAAGATGGGAATAGTCAAGGAACAAGAATTTCTTGAAGGAGGGTTGGAAAAGGTAAGGAATAGGCTTTCTTTATGCTCAAAAAACCAAATATATCCTATGTTTTCTCCCAAAATATTCAAATATATGCCTTCTCGTTTTGGGTTTTCTTAGTGGTTCTCCATTTTATTCCTTCCCTCATTACTGCAACTAAATTAAAGAATGGAAACGTAATTCTTATTCTATGTTTTGCACCAAACAAAGCAGTAGGAATATATATTTCTATTCCTATTTTCATTACATTCTATTTCCTATTTCATTCCTTGTTCCGTTCCATTTCGTTTCCTATTTTCATTCCTTGTTCCATTCCATTTCGTATATCAGATGTAGCCTAACCAGAGGAAAAGAGATGTTTGAATCGATCAATCAAACAAACCAATAAAAATAAATGTTAATGTTTCTATGCGCAAATAACCGCAAACTTACTTTTTTATAGGCAAACTACAGAATATTTTAGGACTTATCATTCATTCACTCTGTAAAATTGAACTTTTTGAAATCTCTCTAAACCAATAATTCAAATGAATTGAAAATGTGAAATTCATTTAGAGTGAATGCTAGTTAAAATTCATTTAGAAATGAGTTTTTCTATTGCTAAAAATATAACTTAAAATGTTGTTAATGGTGTTTTGCATGGAGGAAGGTGCGTGAAAGAAGGGTGGTTATGTGCTGTGTGGGATAATACATAGCAGCATCTTTTGATTGGATAAGAATGGCCGGTTTTGGGATAGTTTTTGAACATAAGGAAGGTAATTACTCTCAAGCTATTCATGGCCTTTGTGATACTTACACAGATCCCTTCCATTGTTGAAGCCTCGGGTCTTCGAGCATGTCTAGCATGGCTTCAAAACAATTTCATTTCTCCAGGCTGCATTTTCACAAACTGTCAATCTATTCTTTATGCTTTGAACTCTTCTAGTTTGGACTTTTCTAAATTAGGTTTAATTATTAATGATCGTAAAGATTTGTTAACCTTTAGTTCAAATGTGACTATTATGGATAGATTAGGAGACAAATCAATATTAGAGCTCGTACTTTAGCTAGAATTTCATATTCTTTTGCTCGTTTCTAAGTTTGGAACCAAGTTCCGCAATATTTATTACCTTATTACGGTTAATGTAATGTTTTGATGTTTTCCTTCAGAAAAAACTAAGGTTTGGAGTCTGTATGCTACCGTGGTGTGGTGAGTTTGGATCTGTCTGAAATAATCAGTTGAGATTATAGAATTTGAGTAGTGTTAATTAAGTTGGAAACTCTAGAATTTTTGTCCATGTAATACGTATTTCATTCCGGATTTTTTTTCACTTAATTAACATATGTGCTTTCACTATGTTGAGTTTTTTCTTGATAACTTAATTAATCATAAAATAAATTATTTATTGAAAAAAATATAATTTTAAATGCAAAATTCAATTAAATTCCATACAGTTAATATTTAGTATAATATCATAATGAAAATTTATTATCTTTATTTTTAAAAAGTAAAAATTAAAAATAATAATTGTCAATTCTATTAATAAAAAATTCTTACCTATAGCAAAATTATAATTTTCAACTCTTATTTTATTAATATTATATACTTTAATAATTTATAATTATTATCTTCAAGTATAATTTCAAATAAATCTATATGGATTCTCATTTTTTTTTAATGCGGCTTATCTTTCTCTTTAATTTTCTTTTTGTAATATTCTTTGAATTCTTTTTTTAAATCATTTGATATATAAACCATTCTATCTCAATTTTCAACTAAATTTTAAAAGTGCTCTATACTCAAGTTTGAACTCGAGACATAAAAGAAAATATTTAATATTACATCTTACCCGTCAATGTGTTTGGAAAAAAAAAGTTGTTAATTACGTAGAAAAACAACAAAAGCAACTATTTTTTCTCTTATTTTTTTGAAATGTGTTCAAATCTTCCACTCTTCCACAAAAGACAAGAATATATATATATATATATGTATAATCCTCCATATATGCCATGATTGCCTACCAATCTCAATTTGCACAAAAAACTCCCATTTACTATCCTGCCCAAAAATCAAACGCTTGGTTGATACCAAATACGTAAGACTGGTCTGAAGTGTCTGCTGATGTGTCATTAAGAACCCAAGCAAAGTAGGAAAGGTGGACCACTTACAGAGGAGCACACGTAATTGGCATGAGGTCATGCACACCCTTAAACCCTCAGTCCACACTCCACAACGTGTTTGACTTGTGTCAAACCTCTATAAGTAAACACCACATGTCTCTTCCCCTCTCAAACAAACTACCGTTCTTTTCTTTTTAATTTCTCTATTATCCTTCCCTTTCGCTCTTAATTGAACAAACAATGTCGTCTGTCCTTCTCAAAGCCATTGCCTCCTCCTGGTGCAATAACCAGAACCTTATAATTTATGATGATGGATTTGATTATGCATCAGTAGTACCAAGCATTGATGGGGATGGGGGTGACGATGATGATGGGGATTATGACTATGCTCCGGCAGCATCCATGGAGGGCGATGATGATGACGACGACGATGACGGCGACTGTGCTCCAGCTGCTTAAACACAATTACTTGAATTTAGTTAAATTTTGCCACAAGTGTTTTTAGTTGGGAACAGTTAATTTATTTACCCTATGGTTTTTAAGACACCCTTTGTGGTTTATTGATAATGTTTTATGGTATCTAATTTAGTTATGTCTAAAATGGAATGATAATTATAATTTATTCCATTTACAATGAATAGTTGTTGTTATAAATCATATTATTTCGGAAAAAAGCATAAATTTATTTTTATATTTTCATGAAAATATACTGTAACACTTTTAATTTTTGCTTTGATGTCAAAAAAATCTTTAAAACTATTATTGTTTGTATGAGAAGTATGTAAATATCCCCAAAATTGGTAATTTTGGAGACACTAATTAAATTTATAGGCAAAAATTTGAAATGCCGTGGAATTTTCGTGATAAACTTATGTGTCGTCCACTTAATTCCTAGTGAGGAGTCATTTGTTTGGTTGAAGATTTCACTCAGTAGAGTGCGACAGCGTCGTTTCTCTGACATATATTAAATAAAATAAAAAAAGGTCCAAAAAGTATTGTCCAAAACTGACAAGAAGTCTTCTGGTGGGACCCAAGAAATGTAATTCAATTACTTTTCCTTTCAACAGAGATATGATATGGTGATATTGAATTAAATACTGCAAGAGCAAACAATTATTGTCGGTTGCATCATCCTTCTTTTAAAAGACATATATGATACATGCATGTATATTTGTATTAAGATAGGACAAGATTGTCATTATAGTTGATTTACTGCACATCTAAATTACAGCTGTAAGTCTTTTATTTGGAAGTTCTAAAATTCACTATTTCTTCAATCTTCACTTTCACTTTGGTTACTAGAATTAATCCCAAGTACCTTAGGTTTAGCAAAAAGCTATCATATATAAAGCATTTACGTATCAACAGTTTGTTATCCCAACTTGAACGCTGGATAACAGAGAAAAAAGAACACGGAAAAGCAATTTTACACAATGAAAGATTATAAATTCTGAAATAGAATTCAATTTGACTCTTTTATTTTCTTTATTAAAGCAGAGGAGATTAAAAAGAAAGGTTTTTTAACAAAAGAATCCCTGAAGATCAGCAGATATGATATGAAGTGATACGGATGTTGAAGACACTGAAATAATCAGCATCAGCTCATAACAATTTCTACAGCTGGTTGCAAGAATAGAAACTGAAGCATCCAATGTATACATAAAAAAGCATATTGTTTGATACGCGATTGCAGAGTTCTGTTTGAGATCACACCTTCACTCGCAGTTTTCACATCCTTCGCTTTCCCGGTTTTCAGTGATTTGAGAAGTTGCAAAGATTAAAAGGTTTCTCAGTAAGAGAAACTGAGTTAAGAAAGCAAGGGAAAATTAAGATAGAGAACTGATATTAACTGGGACAAAATTAGTGAGAGAGATACTCTGACTCTGGAGGCAGAGGGCAACGGATGATGACTGATAATTTTCGGAAAAAAATGGGAAAAAATATTTGGAATTAATGGTGTTCCAGACAAACTCTGATTGCAAAATTTTAAAATAAATATAAGCAGGCATTTTTAGGCCACAAAACTAAAGAGGCTGCACCTCAAATTCAACCAGTAACAGTATGGCCTTGAAATTCTGCAGTGAACATTCGTTTCAGCACCCAATCAAAAACTCCAGCCAAACATATTTGAGTGGCCTCTTCATCAAAGTATAGGTGAATATATCTCTATAGTCCCTTCTTGACAATTTGGGTGTGAAGTAACTTAATTCTCTAGCCTGAGAGAATTTCTTGGAATTTTACCATCTGAATTGATTACAACTTATGATGTTGAGAAATTTCCTGTAGATAAAATATTGAACAAGCATTTTTGTTCATCCAAAGTCATAGCAACAATATCTTTTGTTTCCATTTCATTCCTTTCTGAACCCTTCAGGGGTTTGGCCATTCCGTCCAACATGGAATATATTTCTCTCATTTGAGGATGAGATGGATCCCCAGCTAAAAACTCATGGATGATACCATCCACCTCAATTGAGCTGCAACCGGGCAATTTTTGAACTCCAAGATCTTTCATTTTCCTTCTCACTTTTGTTACATCTTCCCATCTGTCTGCAGAGGCATATATATTAGCAAGAAGTGTGTGGACACCGGAATCACTTGACTCAATTTTCACTAGCTGTTTAGCCACTCTTTCACCCATCTCAACGTTCCGATAGATTCTGCAAGCACTAAGCAAAGAGACGTAAAGTGGAACTACAATGGCCTTATCTTCACCTGGCACCTTCTTTATTAACTCCTCTGCTTCATCAAGAAGTCCAGCTCGACCAAGTAAGTCAATCAAACAACCATAATGTTCTAGTTTTGGCTTAATCTGATACATAGTCGTCATGGAATTAAAAAAGTTACGACCTTCCTCAACTAATCCTCCATGACTGCAGGCACTTAAAATTCCGATAAAGGTAATATCATCAGGTCTAACCCCAGCTTGTTTCATTTTTGAAAACAAATCGAGTGACATTCTTGTCTTTCCATTCACGGCAAGCCCGCATATAATTGAAGTCCATGAGGCTGTATCTTTTTCTCTTAACCCATAGAAAATCTCCAAAGCTTTTTCTATGCACCCACATTTTGCATACATTTCTATTAGAGCAGTTCCAACAACTGCATCTACTGTTATACTGTTCTCATCTATGAATTCATGAATCCATTTACCTTGCTCTAATGCTCCTGTTTGAGCACAACATGTAAGAAGAGAAACCATTATGAATTTGTCAGGTTTAACTCTTCTGATTTGCATTTCCCTAAACAGTGCCACTGCCTCATCAAAACGGTTGAACTGAACATACCCATTAATCATAGCTGTCCAAATAACAACATCCCTGACTGGACTCCTCTCAAACAACGCTCTAGCTTCATCTAGCTCACCACAGTTTGCATAACCATACACCATTGTTGTCCAACAAATGACATTTTTATAAGGCATCTCTTCAAAAATTGCTCGTGCTATCCTCAAGCAACCACACTTGCAGTACATATCCAGCAACGCATTTCCGATAATTGAACTAAATTCAAGTTTTTCTCTCACATAATGGTGAATTTCCTTACCGAGATCCAAATTTTTCAATGCCGTGCAAGCTGAAAGAGTGCTTACAACCGTAGCTTCATCAGGCCTCAAATCAGTTTCTTCTCGCATACGACAAAAAACATCTATAGCATCCTCAAATTTTCTACATTTAACATATCCAGAGATCATCACATTCCAGGTAATTACATCTCTATCAGGCATTTCATCAAACAGCTTCTTCATAACATCAATTAGACCAAATTGAGCGTACATGTCAATGAGCGAGTTACATACATATGTATCAAACTCCAACCCAGTTTTCACCAAAAACCCACGTATCTTTTCACCCCCTAAAATCTGTCCTAAAAACCCAATTGCCTTAAAAACAAATGGGTAAGTGAAATTATCAGGCCATAACCCATTTTCCCTCAATTTACTGAAGAGCGAAACACATTTTCTGTAGTAACATTTCTTTGCAAACGCTTTGATCAAGAGATTGTAGATAAGTAAAGGTGGATTCTGTATGTAATTGAAGAGTCTCTCTGCATATTGCAAATTTCCATTAGATGGGTCTGCGCAAAAAGCCATTAGCTTGTTGTTTGCGTCGGTGTTTTGGTGGAGACCCAAACGAAAAATCTGGGCATGGATTTGTTTGAGATGGGTTATTGATTTGCAGTTTTTAAGAAAAAAGATGCAGGATTGTTTGGTGAGCCTGGTTGTGGGGTTTGTAAAGGAAGAGAATTTGCTTGGCTTAGAAAGGAAATGGCGGGAGATTAACTGCAATGACTGAAAGATGTGTTTCATGTTTAGTACTGCGTTTGGCAAAGGGTTTAGCAACCGTTAGACCGACAAGTATATCTCTCTTCAATCTTCGGGCTTAGGCCCAATTGGACTTGCCCAGCTTGGATGATTGGGCCCATTTTATGAATTTCAAGACAATCTCTTCTGCTCATTTTTTTATTATACTTTATTCGATAAATTTAATTATTTTAGTAGATATTAACGGTTGTCAATTCTATCCGTTTTAGAATATAAATCTTTTAAAGATAATTATTTTATATAAAATATGAGTCATTTTAAGTAATAAATAATTATTTTTCAATTTTACCTTTGTATATATTAGATACAATAACTATTCAAATTACCATAGGTGTATTAATCAATAAACCCTCTTCAACTCTTTAGTGAAATGCGGCAAAAGGAAGGAAAATCTATGGAGTGACCCAGCACCGGAGGTGTACTAATCAATGAACCCCCGAAACCAACTTTCTTTTCTGACAAAATCAACCAAGCCTAACCGCTGGTCACGACATTCAGAACGTCGTGAGACAGTTCGGTCCATATCCGGTGTGGGCATTAGAACATTGACATCTCCAAGGGGTGAAATGGGATGGCAAGGATCCCTTCTCTCTTAACTAAAGGTTTCGAATTTAAACGCTGAATATGGAGTCTATTTAAAGACTCAAAATGGAGCATTTTATCTCTTTTATAAGTCTGCCCAGTGCGAATCTGGATTAATCAGATTAGTGGGCTTTCGATACGGAATGCTTAAAATAAAAAAAAAAAAAATTGTACTTACATATTAATTAATATAGTCAACTGAGTCCCACTCCTAATTGTTTAAATGCCACATTATGTATGAGATAAATCAGGAATTTTGTTTTTCAGCAAGTCAATAAAGTTGCAGTGATCTTTACTCCGTCGCACCTTCCTCAGATCTGCAGGCCTTTACCACCTCCGTAAGCTTTGATTGCAATTTGCAATAAATCCACTTCTGACGAGTCAAGAAACTTCAGCTACAAACTCAACTAAACTAGTTACTTATTATTTTTAAATTGTTAGACCAAAATATATTGGACATGGTACCAATATAAATTTATATTTATTTCCATATGGATGAATAAAAAATACTATTATTTTTTAGTATATATTAATCATTAATGATTAATTTATTTAATAGTTTATTATATATTTATTTAGCTAATGGCTGTAAAATTTTTTATCAGTGATATATACTCCCTCTGTTTTAAAAAGATAGTCAATTTTCTATTTTCACACAGATTAAGAAAATAGTAATTATTATTATTAAAAAATAATTTTATTCATATAATTTTCCTATTATGTCCATCTTAAATATCACATCAGCAGTTATTATATTGAAATAACAAGTAAGAACTAGTACACCAAGACATAGTCCAATGGTGAGTGGATATACGACTTGATAATAGATTCAGTTACTACAATTTACAGTTACTTAACCCCTTTTTGCCTTTTCTATTTATTGTGTAATTTTAAATCCAAGCAAATATTAAGATTAAGGAAAAATTGATAGAATTAAAATAACAATAAAATAATGATGTTATTTTCTGCTATAGAAAGAAGCTATTTACATTTTCCTAACAAAAATGACAAAGGGGGAAAAAACTACTAAGATGACAACAAATATTTCCAAAACTTGTTGATTGTTAAAAAAAATGAATATTATCAAAATTTTAACAAATAGATAAGATTAAATAAAAATATAAATTTATTGTTTATTGAAATATTTTTAATTTTATGTAAGAAATATTCAATTAGCTAGACTAAAAATTCCAAAAGAAGAATTTGTGACCAATGAATCAATTAAATAAAATAGAATTAGAGCAACTTGGTCCATTTACTACTCTAAAGCTAGGCCTACTGTTTGAAAAGTTAAAGCCAACATCCCTGCCAAAAGATTAAACTCTATTGAATGCTCACAGACAAACACATACTCCATGACAGTTTTTTATTTTGCATAAAAATTTAAAAAATAATTTAATCTTATTTATAAAAAAAAAAAAAGAAAATGACTATATTTTCTCAATTTTAGAAAAAAAAGGTAATTGATTAAATTTCCTTTAATTAATTGAAATAAAATTTAATGAATATCTAAATAATGATAGAATTGAAATAAATAAAAAATTAATGGTTAGCCTTATTTCTAAACAGAAAATAAAAAATAAAAAACTATTAAATTTAAGGGAACCTGAGGGATATTTCGCTCGTCCCACAATCTTCAAACGAGGTCGTTTTTGCCAATCAAAAATCCTCTTCTAACCCCTTGTACCGCACGAAAAAATTGGCTCCATGTTTATTTTGTCTTCACTTCAACCAATCGCAAGTTCGCAACTCCGTTAGTCTCCCGTTTCCTTGAAGATCTGTTTCTGTTCACTTGTAGTGTCGGTGATTCCTATCTCTTTCTCCCTTTAAAGTCTTGATTAATTTCATTTCCCTTTTTTAATTTTTAATTTTTAATTTTCATTATAAAAATCAAGTCTTTCTTTCTAACCTCAATCAGCGGTTTAATCCATTGAATCTGTGTTCGTCAATTGATTTCTCTTTTCTTTTCGTAGATCACCTTGATAACTAAAACCCATATCTCAGATTCTTGATGAAGTCACTTTCTAGTTCATATTCACTCAAATGTATATGTTTCTGCTAAACCCTTTTATTTCTGACTCTAGATTGTTGAAGATCTACTAAATTGTCCATCAGGTTTTCTCAATTCTCTAAAATACAGAAAAGGATTCGGCAATGTCTTCGATTAGAGTCGATTCCACAAAGCAATTAACGACAAGCAGTCTTGTGTTGGGTTATGCACTCTGTTCAAGTTTGCTTGCTGTGATTAATAAGTTTGCCATCACTAAATTCAACTTTCCTGGTCTTCTAACTGCACTGCAGTATTTGACATCAGCATTAGGTGTGTGGCTTCTTGGTAAATTAGGCTTTTTGCATTATGATGCCTTCACATTTGAAACTGCCAAGAAGTTTTTGCCAGCTGCACTTGTTTTCTATTTGGCAATCTTTACCAACACTAATGTTCTGCGCCATGCCAATGTGGATACTTTTATAGTGTTCAGATCTTTAACGCCCCTTTTGGTTGCTATTGCTGATATTGTGTTTAGAAAACAACCAGTCCCATCTAAACTTACCTTTCTGTCATTATTTGTTATATTGGGTGGTGCTGTTGGGTATGTGGCTACTGATTCCGCTTTTACTTTGACGGCTTACTCTTGGGCATTTGCTTATTTAGTGACCATCACTTCAGAAATGGTTTATATTAAACACATTGTATCAAGTATTGGGTTGAATACATGGGGTCTTGTGTTTTACAACAATTTGCTGTCATTGATGATAGCTCCTGTGTTCTGGATTCTCACAGGAGAGTATAATGAGGTTTTTGCTGCTTTGGGATCAAAGGGTGGGAATTGGTTCGAATTTGATGCATTTTTTGCAGTGTCTTTGTCATGCGTGTTTGGCTTGGCTATTAGTTTCTTTGGATTTGCAGCAAGAAAGGCTATATCTGCAACAGCCTTCACTGTTACTGGTGTGGTTAATAAGTTTCTTACAGTCGTCATCAATGTTCTCATTTGGGATAAGCATGCCAGCCCGTTTGGTTTGCTTTGCCTCCTATTCACTCTAGCTGGAGGTGTACTTTATCAGCAGTCAGTTACTAGACCTGGGACTGAGCCTGTTTCTAAGCAAACAAACATTGAAAATGAGGATGATGAAGATACTCAACTTGTCAAGAAAACTGATGGTGATGAGGAGAACTAAGGGCTGACAACTATTATTTTGTATGTTTTCTTAGCATTGATAATGATTTGAAGTGGCTTATTGAGGTGTATGTAGGTATTTATCTCTATTCCTAGGTATTAAGGAATATCCTAGATGCATTAGATTTTAAAAGAAATTGTCCTCCTCACATTTTCTGTATCTTTATTTTATCTGCTTTAGCATTCGATGATGATTTTACCCTTTTTAAGAATTTTTTGGTGTTCGTGTATATTGCTTTCAAGAAGTTGTCTTTTATCTTTTACCTAATTACTTAGATTGTGGGAAGCTGGCTATCAGATACAGCAAATATGGAATTCAAGTGTGAGTTCAAGACCAATGAATAGGTTTGCTAGTCTTTTAACTTCATTCAAATCGAGTTTCATGACCCGGTAGAGATATGAAAAACTGTAAATTCAGGAGTTATTTTTTATCTTTTTGAGGGTACACTGTAACTTTCTCATGTTTGAAGTTGGGACTCCAGAGTCTAGACTTTTCTATATGGCTAAAATGATTTGGGGGAGCTTGTTAAGTTATGAGTTTATGTCTTACTCATTTTGAGTAAATCACCAAATCTTTGTAGATGCAACCAATATTGGGTGAAGATATAACTGGAGGTAATAGTCCTTGTCTTTTTTGCATTTCTGTAATGGTGTCCAAGCATTGGGTATGATAGAATTTGATTTTTGTCTTTGACATAAATGTGTTCTGCTATGCAAGCAAACGCCACGTTATGATGCTGGTCTTGCTATCTAAGTGACTTTCCAAGTTTGTTTCTTGCTGATAATTAGTATAAAATTTTTACAGTTTGATCTACAATTTGAAGGTCAATTCAGATCTTTTGATGTGTTTCAAATGCGAAGCGATGTGCATTTTTCAAATTTCCCATCTGTTTTGTGAAAAATCAGTGTTTTGGGAAACTGCTTGAACATTCTTACTTGATTTCCATGAATTTGGTAGATTAAACTGAATTAGTCAAATAAGTGTCTTCAAAAATTATAAAGGTGCATTGTCCATCTTTTAACCATTTCGTTTCAGAACTTCTTTTCCCATCATTGTTGTATAGAACAGATTGATGTAGTTCAGTGTTATTTTAGGGGGCGAATGTACGAAAACCTCAACTTGGATTTGGCGAAAGAATAGCAAAGCCTTCTAATCATAATATTCCAACAAAACAATAGTTCCTTCATCCATAAGAGCTGTATTGAGGACCCATGGGACCCGACCCAAAACCATTTTCATTTATGTGCTCATCCTCACCATTACTAAGAGAGAACCCTACAAACTCTTAGAGCTCGGTAAGAGAGGACTCTACCATCTCTGAATGAACCCTACAAGTCCTTGCAGCATCATTTCCGGGTAGGAAAAAAAGGCCGGACTTGATGCAAATTCTTGTTTGTGTAACCTTGTAAGTATGGGCTGTAAGCTTGTTGGATTTCAGAAAATTGTAGATAATGGTGCTGTTCTGGGTGGTGGTTGTGGTGGTGGGATTTTTAAGAACCTTATAGAATAGGCAGCCGATAAAGTAGCCCATTAGAAACCAATTTGTTGGGCCAGTACCCATCAAAAGCCTGGGTCTTGGTAAAGGTAATGCTCTCTTTCGTCTGTAAATTTGTTTACCAGCCTGTGACTGTGAATCTGTGTGATGGTTCATACGGTTCAATGGTTGGATCGTACGCGACTCTTCATAAGCACAAAGGTCATTGGTTAAAGAGGGGCTTTTACATATACCGAAGCGTATCTAGCTAATAAAAAGGGTCAATTGACCCTTTTTTTTATAAATATATATATATATTTTAAAAGAAAATTATCTAAAGTTCAAATAAATCATTGAAAAAAACTACTTTATAAAGTAAATTTAAAAAGAATTTTAAAATTAGAGAACTAACGTCTCGATTCTTCTAGCTCGAACCCGTATATCACATGAAGTAGATTTTTTTTTTTTTTTTTTTATTCACATAATAGAAATTTTCTTTTTTTTTTTTTTGTTAGCAGCAATTGAATTAGAAGATCAAATCCATTAATAAATGCTATTTTCTATTTTTTTTTTTTTTTTTTGTTAGCAGAATTGAAATTAGAAGACTCAAATCCAAATGAAATGCCTATTTTCTAGATTAAGTCTCTAAGCTCATAATTATAATTGGCCACTTACTGCTGATGCTAATTCTAACTGCTAATAAAACAAGAGTTGAAATTATTACATTCTGTCATCAAGGAACATAATCCAGCATTCAAATTTAAGATTCACCTTTTAGTTCCCTCTAAAGTTAGGTAATGATTTGTTTTTCCTTTTGAGCCACATCTGAATTCCACTTAATTTGCACTTTCTGACTCAAAAATGCCCACAACAGAAAGCAAACTAAAGCCTTTGTCTGTTAGAAATTTTTTTTTTTAATTCATGGGATATCTAATAAATTATAATAATATTATAGACTACACAGCAGAGGTGAATCTCTTTTTATTTAATAATATTTTCTAAATTAGTGATAATTTTTATAATGAAGTGAACTCAAACTTAAACACCTCATTCTCTATATTTTCTATAAAAAATAAAAAAAAATTAATCAGAACACACTTAATTCGTGCTATTAAAAAAAGTTTTAACACTGCTGCCATTAAAAGGAAAGTCTACATCAAGCCTCATTCACATCTTGCCAACAGCATGACTCATCCCTCTAATTAAACTACCTCAATATTGCTTGATGTGCTTTGTCTAGTGTAAACATGTAATTAAAGGCCACAGACCACAGTCCACCATCTTATAACTTTTGTATTATATAAAAATTTTTATGAATCCAATTTACATTTTGAATAAAATTTGAACCCTAAATCATATATTCAACTTATAATTTGAGAACTGAATCTTTATTTTATAATATATAAAGTTGAAATTCAAATCCTAATAATTTTTTTCACTTTAAATATTTTTGATATATCTGAAAAACAAAATATAAGAATGTTAAAATGCATTAGGAAGCCTAATAATATAAATATAAGTACATAATCCAACTTAAGGTAAGTCAACCTTCTCTACCGTCCCCCACCGTCCGTTTCCTTCATCACCATGATGATAAGTCCCACGCTTTGTAGGATCATTTGTCCTTTAATCGTATAATTTAACAAAGCTTATTTCATTCAATCATTATAATATATGAAACCACAAACAAATACTGTACTAATTGAATAATTATTTTTTTATTTTTATTTTTTTTGACAGTGAATAATTAATTAAAATTTGCCTCTATATAACAACAATTCTACAGATATACCTCTAACCCAGTATGGAAAATCCTCGAAATCTGTCAAACGCTGTCGGATTTTGCCTCCTTCCTTTAGAACTCATACAACACATACTCCTCTATTTGACTTTACCTGAAATCTTTGCTCTAAAATCTCTTAACAAATCATTTTCCGACTTAATCTCCGATCAAGTTTTTGTACAGGATTACAATTCTCGATCGAAGTCAACCAATTGGCTTTTCGTCTACAAGAAACGGTGGCATCGCGACTCTGTGCTTCATGGCTTTTCTGATAACTCCGATCGTTGGTTCAAATTACAAATCGCTAATTTATTAAAACCCGTAATTTCTTCCGGCGGGAATATTTATTTTTTGGCGTCAAGTGGTAATTTTTTTCTGTTTTCCTCCAACACTCACAAGGAAGTTATTGCCGTTAATTTGGTTACCAAGACGGTTAAAAGGATACCTCCAAGCCCATTGGGTCCACGCGGCACGTCTTCCTGGAGAAGATCCGGAATGAAATTAGTTTCCGGGTCGGATAACTTCCGTTTCTTGTTCACTGAGTTGGTCGATAACGAGCCGGTTTTGTTCGTGTACGCATCAGAAACTAACACGTGGCTGTCTGTGAAAGCAAGAGGAGATTCTGGTAGTTTTCCACGCGGCAATCAAAGAGAGAGTGATTACATATTTCTCAACGTAGTCAACGGGCCTTATGAAAGCCTCGTAGTAGCCGTGAGCTTGAAATCTGGCGCCCAACCGATAGTTGTACGGCCGAGATTTTACAGAGAAAGAGAGGAAGAGCAGCAGCAATTAACGGTCGGATTTAGCTGGGGGAATGTGATTGATCGGTTGTACGTATACGGTGATGGACACATGTTGATCATAAAATCGAACGGTGTTGGAGATGCGGACACAGGAGCGAGGATGTTAAACGGGATAGAGTTATGGGGCTTGGGCTTAAATGGCAGGCAATGGGAGTATAATTCAGAGGTCCCATGTAAACTAATGGAGCAAATTAAGAAGCCTTATAGAGTAATAATGGGGTGTTTAGAAAGAAGGGAAGGGGTAATTAGGGCAGTTTTGTTGTCTAATTTTGAGGGATTATGGGACATAATTTGGGTATGTTATGATACAGGCAGGTGCAGTTGGAATTGGATTCCTGTCCCTGGTTGCAAAATGAAGGGCCTCAATATGGCTGGAATTGCATTTTCATCTGGCCTTACTTTATAAGTGTGTATATTAACTTTTGTGAAATATAATAAAAGTGACTCATACTGGCATTATCTTTGCCATAAACTTTTTTTTTTTTTTACTAACAAGGGTATCTATTTTGGTAATTGGAAGAAATATTAATTTTCTTTCCTGTCAAAAAGCAATTATATTGAAAATTAGATTCAAGATACTGACTCCATCACTTGATTTTGCAATCACTAAGATGAAATATAGTGTGCTTCAATTATTAGATCAAAATATCTTAATAATATTTAAATTATGATATTGATTCTTCAAAATAATTTTTAATGTAAAATAAAATTATAAAAACACCAACTTGCTAGAACAATTGCATCAATACCACGTGAACAATGAAGTTCCAAGTCCCACTAGTGGAAGAAGAAAAACTCAAATTTTTTGAATAAGTAGAATAAAAAATATACAGAAAGAATAGCGATCGACAACAAATAAAACTATTTAAAATAGTTGATCACAATTATTGGTGTATTTATACATCATTTAAGCAATTTTATAGAGAAAAATCAAATGATTTGATTGTACGAACTTAAAACTTCAAAGTGTAGGAAAGTAAAATTGGACTCTAACATCAACTTCAATAGCTGTACTTAAGATGCAGCCGCTCAAAATTGAAAAGTTGTATTCTTTGGGGGACAAGAATTATTAAGTAGGTAGGCAACCAATCCTTTCACAAACTAACTAACTAGTTATCAGTTAGAACAGTTACAGTCAACTCTGCTGGTATGAAATCCACTAATACAAACCAAGTATTTAGGAGTAGCCTACACTTATTTAAATAATTATTAGCAATTAAAACGATTAACCGCCTTTTAAAACAGGTAATTTGTGGAAGAGACCCAAAACGTGGATTTGAAACGGGTATTGGATTCCAAGTAAAATAAATGACAGGTGAGGTGGCATAACGTGAAAGTGTCAGCTTAAAGAACGGAATGGACAGTGAATAGATAGAGGTGTCTGTCCCAAACACAACATGTTCTCATAGGAGAATGCTGGTCCCAATTCCCACCACCCTTGGTTGCACGTGTCAACATCCTATTCCCTCTGTTTGACAACTTTGGGTCGTCGACTGTTACACTACACTTGCTTACACTTAAATTCGTGCCTTTTGGGCGTTTCAAACCAGTTACCAGACCTATTTGGTCCCCTTTTGCCATGTTCTCTGCTGCTTTAGATGGACCACTTCCTCTTCTTCAACTATTTTTCCTATCCCAGAATACTTTTTTATTTATTTTTTTTACATTTATAACAGGAAATCTCTATTCATTTTAACTCTAACTCCAATGTACATTCTCTTTACTCTTTTCTTTAATTAGAAGTAATTACAAGAAAAAGGAAAAGAGGCTTTATGGTTTAAGTCTTTGAATTAGTAATTTTTTGACAAAGCAAAAATTAAAATTTTCCTTATGTATGAGAGTGTGATTTGAGCTTTCAACACTTCTTCAAACTTCCCAAAATTGAACAATATTTATATTAGTGGACCACGTCAACCCTCCAACTCATCACTTATTGAAATTGCTTTTTTTAAAAAATAATGACTTATTAAGACTAGTCCCGTTTACGAGCCTATCCATAAACTAAATCAATAAATTTAATCATTTAAATGTAGAATAATTTTTGAAAAATCTTTCCATGTCTTTCTAAACAAGTTATATTCTCTATATATAAGAAATAACTCAGATGATAAAAGAACATTCGAGTTCAGCGAACAATTTTGATTAGACTCTATAATTTAGAAATGAGATAAATCTCATACTTAAAAAAAAAATGCACAACCCAAGATATTTTAATCTAGTGATTGCAGCGCACTAAATCCAACCATAATGATCGCATAATCAAGTCGTAGAATCAGCATCTTATAGAAGACTATTAAACATAATTATTGTAACGTCCGAATTAAAAGAAATCACTTAAAAAAAAGTAAAAATATCCTACTAGTAGATATATTATAAAGTCAAAGTGATATTAACATCCAACAACTTTTGATTGACTCTATTTGATCCTCTGTCTCCAATAAAGATTTCTTGGCTTCCTAAGACATCGGATTTATAAGTAAACAGTATACTAAAAAAGAATCCTGCATGAGCACGTGAGATTCTTGCATTAATATAATAATAAAATCCCATTTAATTACCACAAACTTCAATTATGAATATTTATTATATTACTTTCCAAAAAAAAAAAAAAAAGCACGTAGATTTCTGTCATTAGATGATATATAATAAAATCCCAGTTTAAAACACAAACTTCAATATTAATATTTATTTATATTACGTTTCCAAAAAATAAAAAAAAAATTAGAAAAAAAAAAAAAAAAAGGCTCCTTGATTAGAGAAAATTTTTATTTTATTTTACTTTTCACAATTTTGCATGTAAGTCAGAGAGGAGATCCAATGCACAGTGAAATTTCATTACACAATCTTGCAGGCACTTAAATTAATGTCCAGTCTCACAAGAATGGTTGTACCTGTTGAGGACCACAGAGAATTATATGTGTGGACCCAACCCATATACTTTATATATATATATATATTTATTTATTTATTTATTGACTCGTTGAACTGCTAAATGAAATCAAAATTCCCCTCCACACGAGGCCTATGACATACAATAGTTGTTCCTCTTCTTCTTTCTTTAATTAGGATTTTTTTCTCATTTTTATTTTATTAATTAAAGGTTAATGTTGATGTGTGCTTGATGGCCGTTAGTAGTTTTCATCTTACTATTAAATAACTATTAATCTTTCATTAATTATTGTCTAACTTCAATTAATGCTGACTAATTATGTAATTTATGAACAATTTGGGTTTGGCCTTGTTAATTAATAGTATATGTTATTTTATACGTGACATGTGTGTTACTGACGAATATTCTTAGCAGCTGCTTACCTAACAATTTGCTGAATCTTTTTTTTTTTTTTTTTTTTTTTGTTTTTTTTTTTTTTGCTAGATACCTAAAGTTAAAATTTTTTTTTTTTTTTTTTGCTAAATACCTAAAGTTAATTACTACATTTAGGGGCCCTTTCCCTTGTCAATTCAGATTCTGATGGTTATGACAGATGCCTAATTAAATTAGTGTCGATCATGTGTGGTGTGGTGTAGTGAGTTTTCTCATATGTCTCGAGTTCGATTCATCTTAACCATAAAAGTTTTTATCAATCGTCACATACTGTGTAACCCATTATATTATGAAAGTTGAGCTTGATTGAATTCAAACTTGATTCATTAAAAATAATACTTTAAGTCTAATTTCAAATCGAAAAATTAAATTTAAATTTAGCTCTTTTATAATTTGTACTCTATCCATTCTTAAATACTTGTCACATTTGAAATTTCACGTCCCTTAAGAAAATCATTAAATTTTTATAAGTTTCAATAAATTATTAAATAAATTGGCTATATGAACATTAATTGAATATATCCAAGCATCAAATTTTTTAAAAACTGAAATAATAATTGTTGGTCATTATTAATCTTTGAAACCATAGATATAACAAGTATTTTAGAACACATTATTTTTTTAAATATGATAAATATTTAGGAACGGAGAGAATAATTAATAGTTAAAAATCAAAACTTACTCTTCTAGAATTATACTCTTTTAAGAGTTATTTATTACCACCTCCTTTTCATAATACTTGTCACAATTGAAAAATAATTTGTTCCAAAATACTAGTCACATTTGAGATTGCAAAAAGTAATAAATATTTTTTTCCGTATTTGCCATTTGTACATGACTAATGATTATTACTTCAATTTAATGATTTTTTTAAGGGTAATATAGTCAATTTACTCAGTAATTTATTATAATTTAGACAAATTTAATGATTTTTTAAAGAATGTAAAATTATAAATATAATAAATATTATAAAACAGAAATACTAAATAATTTGGATAAGTAAGTAGTTTCAGGTTCAACGTATCTAGCCTCAAAAATTAATGACTAGCTTGAGTCATTTTTATCACTGCAATTATGTAATCAACTCTAAAAACTTCCTTTTATTTTTAAAATTTTTGATTTAATAATTAACTTACCTTTGCTGGGATTGAAGATATTAATTAAAAAAAGCTCCATAATTGTAAGAATAGTTACACTCACAAAAAAAACTTATCCTGTTGATTTTCTGATAATCAAGCATTAGCGCTTTCAATGCTGTTAAAATGTCATTTTCAGTATAATAATAAGTTAATACAATGTTCGCTATCAACTGATATTACTTGTTATATACACCTGCTGTTGCCATTTCATTTTCACTTACACCCACAGTTTTAAAAGTTTTCTTCATTTGCATCCTCCTACTAAAAATAATAAAATAAGATCTAATATTTCTAACTTGCAAAGTTATATCAATTAAATATTCGTTGAAAAGTTGAAATTTATGCAAACTATTGTTACAAAAGTCATACTAATTATATGTCGAGTCGATATATTGCAAATAAAAGATAAAAACTCTAAAATTATTGATATTAGTGTCGAAAGATGTGTAATATTACCAAAATTATGAATTTAGGTACATGATAGGATCTGCAAAGTTTATGGTGCTATAAGGTTAAAATTGTAAAGTCGAGGTGAATTTATTTATTTAACCAAAAATTAATTATTTTTAAATTCAATCACAAAGCTTTATGGATAAACAATTATTATGTCATGATGACAAAAGTACACCTTCTCATACAATTCTGAATTAATTATGTTAGGTAAAGGGAATATGTTAGAGTGTAAATGGGCTCAAATCATTAGAAATATTGGAAGAAATAAGATGAATAAGTGAAACTACTTTCACTTAATTAGAACTAATTAGGGTCTAGCTAGTTAATTTTGTATGTAGTTATCATTAAATTATGTATGCGAATTCTAATTCTTTTAATATGTCTGGTCTATAAGTTATAAACTAAACCAATCAAAATCAATATTTTTAAAAATTATTTATATATTTTTTTTTCAAGAAATGATGAGAAATTATATCAATTCAGTAAAATATTTTATTAGTTGAGTTGATGGGTGGATGGATAAATCGTCCCTGCATGAGGGAATTGTACTTGTAACTCTTGAGTTAATAAAAAATAAAAATAGAAGGTTTTTATTTTTAAATTTTATGTGATAATTATTGATTATCCTTTATAAGTATAAAACTTGAAGTAAATTGAAAGGCAAAAAGAAAAGATGGGATAAAAATAAATTAAAGAAAGAAGTGGGCATGAGCACAAAAAATGTAATTTATATTTGATGATTCGTAATTTTCGTACATAGTACATGACTACATGTCATCCTCTCCCCTCTCTCTCACAGAACTCATCTTCACCTCTCTTTCCTCGCCCATCAGTATCACTTTTTCACTCTCTCAGTGTCGACTCCACTGCATATTCGCACACACTCCCACTCTCTCTAAAGTCTAAAATCCTCCATGACCAACCAAACCCTCCTACAAAAACCCATTTCCCCTCTCTAATCATAACTACAGTCTGTGAAGAGTGAGAGAAATTAATTTCTTTTAAAACAAATCCCAAAATCGGCTAATTATGTTGCCGTACGATTCCGATTCGTCAGCCGGCAACGCTCCCAGCTCATCCTCCTCCATCACCAAAACGCCGGCCGAGATTGATGGCTTACTCGCCGGAGCCGGGTACAAAGTGCGATCTTCGGAGCTTCGGCATGTGGCTCAACGCCTTGAACGCTTAGAAACTGCCATGCTTAACTCGCCTTCTCAACATCTTTCCCTTCTTGCCTCAGACGCCGTCCATTATAACCCCTCTGATCTCTCCTCGTGGGTCGATTCGCTCCTCTCCGAGCTTAACCAATCTCAGCCTCTGCCTTCTCTCCCCTCCGATCTGTCGGATCTCATTCCCAATTCAACGGCTCTCGATAATTCTTGGGGGATTGAACACTCTGCGGCGGCCCAGCAAAACCAGTGTATATCTCAGCAGCAACAACTTCAACAACAGAATCAGTTGAGGGTCGTCACTGCTCTGGAGGAAGATACAGCGATAAGGCTCGTCCACATGTTGATGACGTGTGCAGAGTACATCCAACGTGGCGAGCTTGCATTTGCCGGCTCTTTGATCGAGGATATGCAGGGATTATTAACGCGTGTTAACACCGGCTGTGGAATCGGTAAAGTGGCCGGTTGCTTCATTGATGCTTTGAGCCGCCGTATTTTTGGTCCGATCGGTTCTGTTGGTGGTGTTGGTTCTGGCTACGCTTACGAAAATGAGCTTTTGTACCATCACTTTTACGAGGCTTGTCCGTATTTGAAATTCGCTCATTTCACTGCCAATCAAGCGATTCTGGAGGCTTTTGACGGTCATGATTGCGTGCACGTAGTAGATTTTAATTTGATGCATGGACTGCAGTGGCCGGCGCTGATACAGGCTTTGGCTTTGCGTCCCGGTGGACCCCCTTTGCTTAGGTTAACTGGCATTGGTCCCCCATCACCTGACGGCCGAGACTCGCTTCGAGAAATCGGGTTGCGACTCGCCGAGTTAGCTAGGTCGGTACACGTCCGATTCGCTTTCCGAGGGGTAGCAGCTTCGCGGCTGGAGGATGTGAAGCCATGGATGTTGCAGGTCAATCCCAAGGAAGCCGTCGCGGTCAATTCAATCATGCAACTACATAAATTGCTAGGATCCGACCCGCCTAGAAACTCAGCAATCGATATGGTTCTGAATTGGATCCGGAACTTGAATCCAAAAATCATGACGGTTGTTGAGCAAGAAGCATATCATAACCAACCTGGGTTTTTGGACCGGTTCACAGAAGCCTTATATTACTACTCAACAATGTTCGATTCGCTCGAAGCTTGCGCGCTTCAGCCAGAGAAAATCCTAGCTGAAATGTACATACAGAGAGAGATATGCAACGTGGTAAGCTGTGAGGGATCAGCTCGGCTAGAACGGCATGAGCCATTGGCAAAATGGAGATCGCGGCTCACAGCAGCTGGGTTTAGGCCATTGCATTTGGGTTCAAATGCGTTCAAACAAGCGAGTATGTTATTGACTCTGTTCTCATCGGAAGGGTACTGTGTGGAGGAAAACGAAGGTTGCTTGACTCTCGGCTGGCACAGCCGACCTCTTATTGCAGCTTCGGCTTGGGAAGCTGTGGCTGATGGCGGCGGCTCAGGTTCCCCTCTTGGGATAATCAGTAATAATGGTGTCGCGCTGTAAATTTTTTTTTCTTTTCAATATATGTAGGTTAATTTTTGGGGTTAATTAATCAAAACATCTTCTTGCTTGCTTGTACTGCTGCGACGGCAACCCTTTTTTTATTTTAATTGCTTAAAATGATATTTAATTAGAGTATGATGTGGACCTCTAATCTGACGCAGGAAAAAATTTAGAAAAATGGTTTTGGAGATTATGCCATTTTCGTTTTCCTAGCTTTATCAGGGTCCAGGGCAAGTTTGGATATAAAAATTAGGACATGGACCTACTCGATAAAATACAAATTATTAATTTAATTGTATGCATAAATAAAAAATATGATAAATCCTGTAAATAATGATTGATATGATAGGACATTTTAATTTTCGTAAAAATGAAAATATAAATTCGATTATTTTCGTAAAAATGAAAATACAAATTCGATTCTTACGAAAATTGTGAAAATTAGACTCTTAAAGAGAAAGGGATTGCAAGTTGGTAGTAAGGGTTACCTAGCACTTTCCAAATAAGGAATAGCTATAATGAGCAATACAGCTATACGTGCACTGAACCTCTGCTTTTCAATGAGTGCTACAAGTGACTTTGGTGAGTTAATGAAGCTCATAATCAATTTTCCTAAATTAAGCACACAAAAAATGTGAAATCATGTAAAGCTTGCATGAACAAAAATGGAAGACTCAATGTGCGCCTAACAAGAAAAGAAGAGTGTGTGTGTGTGTGTGAGTGTAATACTGTAATTACAATTTTTTTTTTTTTTTTGAACAGGTGTAATTACAAATTTGTGTATACAAAAAAGGGCAACGGGTCGGGACCCTTTCTCCGTAATAATTAGGCAGTAGTAGGGAAAGGTGGTCACATGCATCAAAAGATCTGTCCCGTTCACAGCAACTCTTCCTGCAACTGCAAATACTCTAGCTGTCCCTGACCTGTCTCAGTTTTTCTGTGAAATAACGACGTTTCCAATTTATATAATCTCAACAAAAATTAAATTAAGATTAATATTACGTCATTATTAATTAAACGCTAATGTTTAATTAAACGATTTCAGTTCAAAACCAATGGAAAATAAGAACTACCATGCCCATTTCGGTCCAATTTGATTTGATTTTTTTAATTCATGGTTTAATTTTCGTCCAAACCAAAGTGTTTTAAGAAAAAAAATATGAGAAACTAATATTTGTCTCAAATTACTTTTTTTTTTCTTTTGAGAAAAAAATTACTTACCATTATTATATAATAACAATTATTTGGTTAGCAAAATTATTATAATCCTGTCATCTTAATAAAAAGAATATAAAGATTAGATTCCTTTTTATGTTAATTAATTAAAATGAGACAAAATATATAAAAATTTTTATAGCATTTCAAACTTTATTAAAAACATAATGTGTCTGTCTCTAAAGTTTTAAAATTTTGATAACCATCAAATCTCAAAAACATATTAATATTAGTGACAATGGTTTTAAAATTTTTAATTTTTTTTAAAAATATCAATTTGATTTATGGTTAATATTAGTGGCGGAATTAGGGGGTGGCCGGTGGTGGTGGCCGCCCCTCTAATTTTAATTTTTAAAAAAAATTTATCTCATAAAATATATAAAATATTATTTTTTACTTATAAAATAGTTATTTTTTTGAGATCGCCCCCTCTAGATTTTAAAATTTTTTTTCTATCCCTGCTAATTATTTTTCTGATTTCGCCACTGATTAATATGATTTTAAAGTTAATTATCTAATAAATAAACATTATCAATTTAATTTTATAAATCAAAATATTTAATAAATACAGTTCTATAAATTGCAGAATCAAATATTCAAATTAAGACTTTTTCATTTTCCTTCATCTTATGATGTCCCTTTCTAGATGACGTGACAATTGATGTAGCTAGGAAAGTCGTGTCAAAAAGAAGTTTCAAACTAAAAGATTTAACGAAAGAAATAATAAATTGAAAAAAAAAAAAAAAAGTCATTTTAGTTGTGAAAATAATAGAAAAAATAAAACAGAAAGGAATTGCAGTTCTCATGTCCATTAATTTAAAGACATGTTGTCATAGCCAAAAATAAATGAATATTGATGTCAATCAATCATGTGTCTTTGGATGATTTTTCTACGTAGAACAGTGGAAGGTCCCCAAAATTATCACCAAATTTTAGTGATATTAGTTTTTTTTTTTTTTTTTTTTTTTTTTTTTTTTTTGTTTTTTTTTTTTTTTTTTTTTTTTTTTTTTTTTTAATAACGTGACTTATACATTGGTTATGTTTGTTATATATTTTGATTATTTTAATTTTTTTTTCTAAATAATATTAAAGCATAAATTATTTGTTTAAATACATTTGCTTAATTCGTATTGAAATTTATCGTAGGAGCTAGTTGTAATGCTATACTTAATCCAATTTTATTTATAATAAAATAATCTCAAAATAAAATTCAACCTTATCTCTAGACCTGATCATTTAGTTCTTAATTTATAAATGTAGATTCTTAAAACCTTAATAAGTGCTCAAAATAAAAATCAAGCCAAATCAATATTTATATACAACTATAATGAAAAATAATAATAAATTTTTTTTACTGATTGGTAATGGAAAAAAATGAACAAATGATCTGAATTGACAATGATAATTACTTTGGCTATAGTGACTGTATTACTTACCCAATGCATTACAAAAATGAATATATGCATGTACGCATATACACACAAATTCTTGAAACCTCAAAAGTGACCCAAAATAGAAATATATAGTTCTAGTTTTTTTTCAGTTTTATAAACACTATTTTCTCAGTTTAGAAACACAGTTTATCTTTTTCAAAAGTCAGAATACTATTTTAGATAGAATATAATATGAAAAATTAATAGAAAATAGAAATGTTTAATCAAACTAAGTAAAATGTATATTTCATATTTGGACCATGAGTCAAATTATTTCTAGGAATAATCTAAATTATTAGGCGACGGGGGTATCGAAAATCTGCAATAGTGTTCTGCCGCTTCCCGCGATATTTAAATATATAGTATATATATAATAGGTTCATTTCACATAAGAGGTTATTTCCCCTTTAATTTATTGGGGACGTCGTCTGAGTACCGAACTATACTGTTGATACATAACATTAGCTTAATTATGTGACTTTTAGGAGTAAGCATCAATTTGGTTTTTTCAATTAATGATTGGATTTTGTTTTATTTTTGTAATATTAATGCAATTCTTCGCTCGATTAATAATCAAAATGCTATGTGGGTTGGGGTTTATGCCGTGTTCCCAATTTGTCAAGTAATCTGTTACGAGACGCTAAGAGGAAGAAGTTAGTTTTGGCAAAGAAACTTAGAGGCTGCTAAAAGAAGATTATAAGTAAGCGATAGCTAACGTTATGATCAAATAGGTGTAGATTTAATTTGATAGGAAATTTGTATGGTGAACCTTCGTTACGCGTCAAATATTTATGGTTTATGTAATGAGAAGATTAGGAACACAAATGTTCTAATTATGTTCTGAGGAAAATGTAGGATCATTGAGTTCATTTGTATTTGATTAGATAGGGTGTAGGTTTTCTATTTTAGGGAAATAATAATTCGGTTGCATGAGTGCTGATCACAGAACTAAATTAAGTCAGTGTCAGGGACAGTTTAGGGCAATAGGTTAATTAATAGTCTCCGGGAAATTTACTTGCCTCAAGCCAATGTTGGGTCCTTCCGTCCAGTGTTGTCTTCGCAAATTTTTGAGTGTTAAAAAGTCTTGTAAGAAGAAGAGACTAAAAGAATACCTGAAACTTGAAGAAGGGGGGTTAAAGGAAAATTAATGTCGGTCCCTTAGACTTTGATCCAAACTAACGTAGAGTTCATCCTACCGCGAGGTTTTAGAGCAGATGATTATGTGGAATCGGATGCGGAAGGTTTAGGTTGCCGTCAAGCGGACCATGTTTGTGCATTCTAGTTTATTTTCTTCTGGTGATGTTTCGTAGTGTAAAGCCTGAAAAGAAAGACGAAAAATATACATTACAATTAAAGTGGAGGAGGAAAAAGGGACTGGGAAACTAGAGACTTAGGTTAGTGTGTGCGTTATAGTAAACCGAGAATGGACAAGCTTAAGGGGCGTTCTCAAATGCGTTGTGACGAAACTGTGAAATTCGTGTAAACGGAGACAGGGAGGTGATTTTGTTTTTGACTAAAGATATTTCTTTACGTATTCCCTATGGGTCCTTACCTTCATGTTCATGTGAGTGTGAGGGTTGTGAAGGTGAGATAGGTAATGAAAAGAGAAACTTGTTCTCTTGAGATATGATACGCGTGTTAAAATTTAAAAATGCGTATGTATTTTATTTGAAATTAACTCGAGTGTAGTAGTTTGTCTTGTTATCTTTTTGGGTTGGTGCTCAAAACAGAGGTGGGAAAGTGGACACATTATGTTGATCATTTTTGTTTTGTTTGTGTGAATATCAATTTTAATCAAATATCCCCTGACCGTTTTTTTTTTCTAAAATATTCTTTACTATTCCTATGGTCCTACCTTCATTTCATTAGTTGTAGGTTGTAATGGAATATATAAAAAAACTTGTTCTCTTGAATATTGATACCTAAAATTAAATGCCTATTATTTTTATTGAAATTAACTCGATGTATATTTTTGTTTTTTATCTTTTTGTTGGTGGCTCAAAACAGTAAAGTGACACATTATGTTGATCATTTTTTTTTTTTGTGAATATCAATTAATCGATATATCCCTGACTCTTTGTTTTCCCTCCACGACAAATGGAAATTCTAACCTAGATTAGTTTAGTTTTTTTCTTTTTAAATGTCATGGTATTTTAGTTTTTTTTTTTTAAGGTTTTAATGGAAAAAATATAGAGAAAATGAACGAAATGACCAAATGGTTTGACATAGGTAAATCTCAGAGATCATTAATTAATATTGTTAAACTACAGGGATGACTTAATTAGTTTGGTTAAATCTCATGGACAAATTAATTATTTACCCTTCTTGAGTTTCAGGGTATTTTAGTCTTTTTTAAAGATTTTAACGAAAAAATCTGGAGAAAATGGGCAGAAAGACCACGTGGTTTGACAGTGGTAAACCTCGAGAACCATTAACTAATATTACAAAAATGCTGGGTGACTTAGTTAGTTTAGTCAAATTTCCGAGACGAATTAATTATTTTCCCTTCTATTTATTAGAAAATAGTGCGTGTGCACACACACATATATATAAATTTAGACATGAATTTTATTATTTTAACCTTGCAGCACCCTCAACTTTTATTTTGACTTATCAAACACTTCAACTTATAAAAATACATCTATTAAACATTTAAACTCACAAAATTTGATTAATTAGACACTCATTAAAAAATTAAAATTTATAAAAATTATTATTTTAAAAGTCATAGCAATTATATATTAAAGTAATATTTTATTGATAAAAATCAAAAAGTAAAAAAATTATTAATATTAATATCATTATCAAAATTTATAAGTAAGTGCACGAGGTGATATGCAAAGTGACGGGTGAATGAATGTTTTACAGCTTGACAATTGACATGGTTTGTATGGTAAGTTGATCTTGCTTAGGCTTTTAGGGTTTGATTGTGAAGGAAGTAGGGACCACCTAAGCAGGGTACGCAAGTAGAATCATGTTTATGCCCGTGTCGACAGTGGTATCTCTTTCTGAGGTTGGATCCAATAAAAATCAACCATTTTATCATTCGGGTCCCACTACCTAATTTTGTGGTCCATTAGCTGTCTCAACCCATCCTGGCCGTTTAATTTTTCCACACTTATTTATTCTTATTTTCAAATCCATAAATTTGTCCTTGTATTTTATCCGTTTAACAATCTAATCCTATATTTTTTCCAAGAATAATATTTTTAAACATTGAAGGCTTTAACAAATTCAGGTTTAATTCGCGAAATTATGATAAAAACTTGAGCTTTTGAAGCTCAATTCATAACTTATTTATGTTTCGATTGCACCAAATTTTATAAAAATATATAAAATTTGTAAATGAATTATAAAATTAAGCAACGCATAAAATTACCATTCTCATTCTACAAAGTGATTTTTTTTAATTATTTTACTTATTTATTTTATCATATTTTATCAAATTCATTTAGAAAATTTATTTTTTCAAAAAAAAGTTTTCTTCTTATTTTTTATTTTAATATTTTTCATCTTTTTTTAAATATTTTTTAGCATGTTTTTTACTATTAAGGGAAGAAAAAATCAAGTGAGATATATATTGATCACCAAATTAAGTGCAAGAATTTTATTAATCTTATTTTTATTTTATATATTTATTTTAATAAAAATGTAAAAAATTATGTAGCATAATATAAATATGATTGGTATTTATTATTTATTTTTATCAAATTACTATTTCAATGATATTTTAGAAAATAAAAGCAAATAAATTTTCAATTATAATTTTATATCATACATAATTATGTGAAATTCAATTGAATTACATATTTTAAATTAATCATAATAAACGTAAATAAATAATTTATTTATAAATTAATTTCATATTTTGAATTTATTTATACCAAAAGCAGTGTAAGAGCTCAATGTTATCAAATGATTTATTTTGATTTCCTTTTCTGTTATTTTACAAATACTTTATTAGTTTTTTTTTTCTTTTCAAATCCAAATAGTAATACAATGGCCATCCTTTGAGATCAAATCGAATTATCACAATATTAAAAATACATCTAAAAGATCATAAGAACAAAAAAGATTAGCAAGATAACAATTCAATGTCAATATTGTAAGGAGTGTATGCGCTGTTGTTAATATTTTATATATTCTGATAATTATTGCTATCCTTACAATAATAGAAACATTTTTAAATAAGAAATTGGTAGAAGAATTTTACAAAATAATAAATTTTCCCAGTAAAAAAAAAATTTCCAAGAAAGAATTTTCCATGATATTGCCAAGAAAGAAGACTAAAAGGATATGACTGTATGAGGGCCAGACTTGATATGTAAAGCATTTCAATTTGACATGTTGACCAATCTACCTTATTGAAGACTATAAAATTTTGATTAATGAGAGATGACCCATACGATTCCCTCACCTTTCCAATTATTTTTCTTTAACAGACCAGACATATAACCAAACATGACGTCGACATCTCATGCGATCCATATAATGGGAAAAAAAAAAAAAAAAAAAAGATTTGGGGGTGGGTGTGGTAGACGGAAGAGGATTTTACAATGAATAGATAAGATGGTTTCCAGGTAAAGAAGGAAAAAGGAGAAATGTTCCAAGAGAAGTAGGAATTGGTTGCGATGGAGTATTGCCAAGGAAGAGAAGGGGACTAAAAGGATTGGAGGAACTGGGGGTATTGAAGGCCAGAGCGCTTTGATATGTGTAAAGGCAGTGGGTGAGGGGGGGGGGGGGGGGGGGGGGGGGGGGGGGGGGGGGGGGGGGGGGGGGTGGGGTGTCAATTGGTGAAGCATGTTGACCAAGTCTACCTTATTGAGGAGAGCTATAGGAAATTGTTGGGGAGTTGAAGGAAGGAGGACCCAGGTTAGCGATTCCTCACCTTGTGCCCCAGGATGGTGTATGTGTGTTTTCGTTTGAAGCAGGACGGCAGACATGGAGTAACCAAAGCGATGACTTCGGACTCTCCATTTGCTTTCCATATGGATGGGAAAAAAAAGAAAAAAAAAAAAAGGGCAAATTGAGTCTGTTTTATCTTCTTTAATTTTTTAATTTTGTGTTTGTAAAAAAAAGAATGACACATTGTGGTATGGGAAAAATGGAATTAATGTTGAGTAGTCCAGAGAATGAAGTATTAATGTGGGATGGGCCTGAGTCAGGCCAATTAGAGAGTAGAGTTAGAAAACGTTGTTCGGTTCAAAACAACGAATCCAAGAAGTAGAAACTAGGGTAGTCGGGAAGGGATGGATAAACGTTAAGATCGGAGATCGATGAAATTGAGTAGTGGTCTGAAGCCAAAGGGTCGATTGCAAAATCAAATGAGTTGGTTCAGGACGCTGTTTTGGTGCGATTTTGCCATACTCGATTGATTGTTTAAGTCTGAATCGATGATTTTATTAAGAACGGCGACTCGGTATCAAGGATTATAAATGAAAAAAAAAAAAAAAAAAAAGGCAATGAGTCTTGTTTTATTCTTTATTTTTTAATTTTTTTTAAAAAAAAGAATACAATTTGGAAAAATAATTAATTTGAGTAGTCCAAAATGAATATTAATGTATGGGCCTGATCACCAATAAGTAGGAGTTAGAAAACGGTTGGTTCGGTTCAAAACGAATCCAAAAGATAAAAACTAAAGTCGTAGGATGATAAATTCAATCGAATCGAAATTGATATCTGAACCAAATCGACTCAAATCAAAATAGTTGGTTCAACCTGTTTTGGTCGATTTTTGCCATATCGATTTGATTTTAAGTCTAATCGATGAATTTTTATAAAACCGACTCGTATCAAATTATAAATTCGGCTCAAACCAAATAAACCGACAAAAGCAACTTCCCTTGAATGCTGACTGAACCGAAATGGATAAGTTTAATTTTCGATTCGATTTGATTCAGTCAGTGGTTTTGCAAACCCCTACCAATGAGCCGTCATATCAGCAGAAAATATATTGCGTCTCCAGACAAATTTTATGTGTTAAGTTTAAGGTTTGAAATCTGGAATGGAGTTGCCGCTAATCCGCTATTGAAAGAATTTTACTTAAATATCACTCTCGTTGAAAGAGTACCGGGACACACCTATAATATATAAACTTAAATGCGACTTCAATTGCAAATAATTGGACTGGGACTCAATATTACCATCAAATCAAACAAATTAAGGAGTTCTACAAAAAATTATACATGTATGAAAACGGGACCTACTTAATGTATTTGCCTTTCAATTATTTCGCTAATTTGCTATTTACTTCAAATATTAGTCTTAATCATCAAAGTTAATTCGCATGCCATTTGTCATTAATTTTAGTTGAATAATTTTGATGCATGTCTATTTCATACATGCCTTTTTCAAGCTTCAGTGATTATGCCATGACACTAAGAAATTCATGTTCACATTATGATTTTTCTAACTGATTTTTAATTTATGATAATGATAGAAATTACTTAGAAGCTAATGAAAATCTAAACTATGTCTGCTTTTGATAACTACTGATCAGTAGATGGTCAAAATTTTCAGTGCATTCTAAAATACAAGCTAATTAACAATACAATTTCATGTACAAATCCTATTTCTCTTTAACTTTCCCCTTATTAATCTTCTGTACTCAGTCATTTCTGAACTTAATTAGCAGTAAAACATCACATTCTTCACCTTCTCTTTCAATGCAGGCAGTGGGCGGACATGCGATCCGTTGGCTGTTCGTGTGCAATGCATTTTAGGACTTTCTGGCGCATCAGGTTCCATGTAAAATCGAGCTCGATAAGCTGCTAGATGTGCATAATATGCAGGAGGCACTGCATGTTTAAACAAAGATTATACCACTTAATATGTATGCAACTTAGTTAATCTGTTCTTATGATGAAATCAAGAACTTAATAAATTGATAATTCAATAATTAGAGAAATTACCTACAGAAACCGACCGAGTGCACCTAGCATACCTGTCACAAAATGATGAACCTAATTAGAAAACTATAAATTTTATTTTTCAACCATCGTTAGAGAAGTAATAGAACCGAATTTCGTACGTATAGCAGAGGTTATTTGTTAGAGATTGAATCTCATCTGCAGTGAAGTTGTTCTCATCCCAGAGCACATGATAATGAGCAGGTCTACTGGTGCCCTGTCAATTTTCAGTACCAATGTGGATAAATGTTTTATATTAACTCAAACCTATCCTTTCAGTTCCCAAGTTCTTTAAGGGATATACATATAATTTCGTTGTAAATATTTAATATTTTCATCCCATATGCAGATACCTGGATTCCTGCATGACTACATAAATAAAAGTCAAATTCGGTCGGATGACATATTTTAGAATCCACCACAGTACCTACATTGAGAAACAAAAGTTATACACCTTTAGTTTAATAATTTTCGAAGGATCTTGAATTACTACAGTATGGTCTGAGAGAGCTAGAAGAGTTTATTGTTTTGATTAGTATTTTTATGATTCAGGCATAAAATTCACTTACAGTGCATTGGCTAGTGGCTATTTTGTTTCACTATAAAGGCTAGAGTAAGAAATTGAAAGAAATACCAGGTAAAATGTTTCCACTTTTGTCAGTGCTACTTCTGTTATTATAGTTGCTTGGGAAAAGTCTCGTATGATGCCGCTTTTGGACGATGACAAATGTTACTGGAGGTTGGTAACTAGGTTCTAGTGATGCACAAGCCTTTCGAATTGCATCAAGTTCATATAAGAGAACCTGGTAGAACTGGCCTTCACTGACACCATCCCTGAAAGTATAATCAAAATTTGGCATTAAAAAGAAATTACACTGTAAGCTTCTGTACTCAGTGTTTCTTCAATTATTGTTGCTACTTGAATATAGTCAACTGTTATTATTGCATAAATTCTCATACCAATACCTGTAAAAAATTATCCTTAATGGCTTTCGCCCAGTTGCCTCCTTAAATGAAAGTAGAAGTTCCCTACAGTAACACAACTTAAGTACCATCGGTAAGTTTTATAAATGAGAGTGCTGATGTGGCTAAACAAGCAGCACTGCAAGCCGTGCAAAAATCGCAGGGAGGAGCTATTTAATATATATATGTATATGTATATGTATATATTACCTGATCATGCCTCCAGAAACTGTTCCCTGTTGAGGGTCTTGCCAGGTTTTGAATAAATCTTGAATAAGTTCTTGCCTATGAGGCTGAGCACATACTAATCCAGCATATTTTGTAACTTCTGGCCAGTCTTGGGAGGCTACAACCTGCAAAAATAATGCTTCGAAACTAAGACACGGATTTAAGATAGAAATTTTGACTTGATTGGCTTACAGCAGCTATTGATGGACTAGTGTCTTCTCCGGACTCTGGATGCGTTACATCAGCCCCGAAAATTATGGTTGGGATGTCGCTGACCAAGGGTATCCTCCAACTTAAAGCATCTAAAAGCACCGTATTTCTTCCGCCCATCTAAAAGAAGTTAATGAAAAGAAAGAAATGAACAAATTAATTTCTCTTGGAATTTTTTGATTTCTAAAGCCATAGAATAACATACATTGTGACTGACCTTAACATTTATTTTGAGTGAAACATTTGCCAAGTATTGTCTGTTAATCTTGAAAACATGCTTGGTAAGGCAGCATTGTGAAATCAATCCAAGATCAGTTTCGCAAATTCGTTTCAAATCACCTGAAATGCAGTTCATCCCCTTACTATATACTTCTCATATATTTCCTTTTGATTTGGATTAGAAGTAAGGACTTAACAATTAGGAATTTGTTAACATGTAACCAATATATGTCACATTTATCTGTAGGAATTGACAATTAGAAGCAACATGTAATCACATACCATACAATGAGCCATTGTTGTCTGGAAGGATGGCAATAAGTAACTCCAATTCTTTCCCTTCAAGTTTTTTCGCAGCAGCATGATACACATACTTCAAGGCCTTCTTTACCTGATCAGGCCTTGCTGAATATATTGGAATCACAGGTTCACAGTTAAAATCCTGCAATGACAGCAATGCAGGTAGGTTATTGGACATAATGATTACAACACTAATCAATCTGATTGTCTGGTCATTACAGAAAGATCAAGAAGCTTTACCATGCCAGAGATTTGGCACATTTGGACCAACTGCTGGCAAAAACCACGAGCCGTGATTTCTTGGACACTTCGAGAGAAGTTAATGCAAGCCCAGTATCTTACATTGCTTCCATTTATCACTTTCTGCATTAAAATAAGTAGTTAATACTCCTCTTGACATTAATTGGTTAACAGCATCTTCGTAAAATGCCTATTTGGTTAATGCATTTGTGATGTATTAAACTAACCTTGTTCATCATATTCCACTGACCAACTTGAGGCAGATATTCTTTTACTTTTCCAGTATCATTGTACTTGAGCTATTAGCAAGTGACACAAAATAAATGAGGCCTAACAGCATGAAGACGAACATAAAATGCGATAATGATTTGAAATTGTACCCATGGAGCTGGTAGAACTCGAGCCTCGATTGATGCAAGGTTGCTATCTATGCTAATGCCAAACTCCTTCACATAAGGATCTTCTTCATATCCATTTTGGTGAATTGTCTGCAGACAGTGCAGAACCTTTTAGTTTGATAGCCTCAAGACTGGCCCTATCGGTTTGTTCAATTATCACTTTTCAAACTTAGCAAGATACATTATCTTTCAACACATTAACATAAAAATTACCACTATTAGCCCTTTATACAGAAGGATTAGCTACGCAAAGAACAGAACATTACTCTATAATTTAGTACAATTTCCAACCAACTATATCTCGTGTACACATAATATATTCACTTTTGTGTTTCCCATTAACAAGGAAACACTAAACAATTAGAGGATTGATTGTGTAAACCTGTAAAATGTCCAATTCTTGTTCGTGGGGTCGCTGGCATGAAACTTTCAGCAAAGAAGTAATCTGCTTTTCATTAAGCCCTTTTGTATATCTTTGTCCCTCGACTATCTTGCAAGCCTAAAAATATATTCATGTAAGCTTATAGAACCTGACATGATATATCACACAGAATGCATGAACCAATATCAATAGAACATACCTCCATTGGCAAATAGTTCACCTTCCTCTGGTTTCCAGTTTGAAGGCATGGCAGGTGGGGATATCGAATGGTATAGCCATACACCTCTTGAAAGTACTCAACAACTGATTTCATGTTCATATGCTCATCAAGAGGGAAGCTGTTAAAATGGAAAGATAAGCAAAAGATAACTTCTAATTCACAAAATGTTTGACAAGGTTAAAGAAAAACCACTTAGGATTAAGAAAACTCAATACTGTTCCTACATTAGCTCACGTGTGGGCTGTGTGGTCAATCCAGAAATTCTGTACTTCCTTCGCACATTTCCTCTGTGGGTAACTTCAACTTTGACACCTCTAAGGGCTTTCTTGACCTGCAACATTAACAAAAAATAATTATAACAGGCTAAATATCAATTGAACATTTGTTTTCTATGGAAAATTATTTTGAAATTGTAATTCTCAGTATATGCGTAGCAAAATGACAGACTTGGTTGTTGATTCAGTTTGAATTATTTAACAAATACACGAATGAAATCATAGGCTATACTGAAAAACCATCACAATTAAAGATGGCCAAGGAAATTTAATGATGCCAAGAAGTTGAAAGCTGTGCCAATCTTTACCTAAATGATTCAATCACTGATGAGTTTTAGTTTCTTATCACTAAATGTATATTCTCTCTCTGATCCTTAAATTGAGGTTATTAATAGCAAATGGCAGGGAAAACTCTCAAAAATTATCAAGAAGAATTCATGGTTCTTGGCAAGTAAAAATGTACGATTGGAGGTAATTAGTGCACAGCAGTTACAGCAGTATAGATACATTTGCCTCCAATTTTGTGCAAGATATGAATTTGTCACTCCTATTTTAATCAAAACACACTATTTCCACAAATATATAAAGTGACTAAATTGAAAATTGAATCTCTAATCAACTTCCATTCACTATCTGCACTAATCAGTTTAATACCTTAATGCGGTCCGCATCTGACAATGGCCTTGTATACACATCTTTGCCCAAAATTTGAGCAGCAAATTCAATAACAAGAACGGGTTCAATGAAAGCAGTTGCCGACATGTCTAGAAAAGAAAAATTTAGAATGTCAATATTTCTATAGATACATAAACTGATATGTACAATTTTTTTTTTTTTTTTAAAAGAAGCAAATCAATTCCTCTGTACCAATATTTAGTGACAATCCCATTTGAGTAGGTCTTATACTTTGGTAGAAGCCCCTCCATGATTCTAAGCCACCATCAAGTTGCTGTGGTTTCTTGATATCAGGAGAATAAAAAGACTTTCCAATTGACACATACCTGTATGAGCACATATATGCAAGGATTAGAAGTATATAACAAATAATTTCCAACCCATTTGCAAAAGATGAAATGAAAAACCTCAAAGAAAATAAATAAAGAATTGACCTCTGGACTGCAAATTCCCTTAATACAATGTCAATAATAGTAATTGCTTGTTGAGGGGTATCAACCGGTTTTCCAGAAAGAAGCTCTCTTAATGGCAGCATATTAGCGAAAGCTTCAAACTTGATTGTCACTTTAAATTCTTTGTTCCTAAAGCAGTTAACCCAAAGAAAAAGAACAACAATATCAATATACAAAACAGAAACAGAAACAAAAAGAAAAAATTATATATAACTATAACTCAACAGATGCGACAATTAATTAGCTTGATAAATTACTTGATATTGCCTGTTGCCTCATCTTCATGAACCAAAGTTATAGTGAAATTTTTGCAAGTAAAAGGCAGTGATTTGGCTGTGTATAGGTTTCTTCTACCATCATAAACTGGTAATCTCATCCCTAAATCAGTTTCTCTGTAAAGTTTAACCAACTGGGTCATAATAGCTTTGCTCAATTTACGAGATGTAACTTCTGGGCTTATTTCTACCTGCACCATATATAGAAAACCATAACCAAAAAAATAAAAAATAGTCTTTAAGCTAAAAGGGTAATTTAATTCAATAAAAAGGTGTAATTAACTTACACTATATTGACTCAAGTCTGAATAAGGTATCTCAGCAAGAAAATGGTTAGCTTTAACCATGCACTTTGTCCCCAGCTGTCCATATCCAGGCCTTTTATGAAAAATGAGGCTTTTGCATGAAGAACGAGAAGACAACCCATTACTTGAATAAAGATGATGAGCATTTGGTAATGATATTTTCCTGTTAAGTCCTTTCCCTCCTCTTCTCCTTCCATTTCTCCTTTTCTCTTTTCCATTTTCTCCAATGGGTACTTGAGCAGAAACAAGATGATTCTGGTCAAGATCCTTCATATGCATGTTAGGCATATCGATCTGGTTCAAGAAACTTGTTTAAAGTAGTAGTAATAATAATAATAATAAAAATAATAATAATGAAATGGTGAAAAGACAAGAGCGGTGTAACATTTTCCACGTTTGTGTGAGAATATTGAGGTAAAGTTGAGAGATGAAAGGGTTGACACGAAGCATTGTAACGGCTGGAAAACTAAAAAGAAAGCAAAAAGGATAAGACAGAGAGGGGAGGACGATCTTGACAGTGTTTTACTTCAAAGCTCTGTATATTCTCTGAAAAGTGCTCAACAATGGAGACGTGCATATACATGCACAACAAAACTTATAATTTCTACTGTTCTGACATTTTTACTAAAAGTCCAACCCCCTCATCCTAACCCCTAATTCTACTTTTTCTTTCTCAATATAATAATTTCATCCTCTTGCTTTCCAGGCCATTAAATTATACATCTCATATCATGGATTGGTTTAATGCATGGTTATCACTTTCCTTTTGATTGAATTCAAAAACAAAGTTAGACATCTCAAAATTTTTTCAAATCATAACATGCTTAGTCTTAAATATTGCAATATAATTTACTAATATATGCTTGAATATTTTTCAAAAATAATTTTATGTTGTAACCAACAGGAGGTCAGGAATTCATAACTTGAATGTCATATCTGGTGTTAATTAGAGACAATGACAAAGTGTAACCTAAAATTTTTTTTAAAAATTTACCCATTAAAATGTTAAAAGTTTCTAATTTTATCTATAAAATAGTGAATTTTTCCATTTTGCCTCAAATTTTACAATTATTTTTCAACCCAACTACTTTTTATTTATGGCACCATCACTGGAGACACATGTAGAAAGGAAAAAAAGTATTTTATTATATTATGTTGTACTATAAAAACTTGTTATGTTATAAGGGAATTGTAGTGGTATAACACAAGGGAAAATGGGGAAGCACTAAGCAGGACCACTGGTATATTGTGGGCTTAGGAGAAGATCCAATAGCCAAGAATTGGGCTTGTGGTCCCAAAGGGAGGCTGACAAGAAACCTTTTAGTTTTGCAATACAGCTTGTAGGAGATATATATACATAAATTAGCAAATATAAAACCCTCTTTTCAGCGAACAAAGAGGAGCTTTAACTCATCCCAAAGCCCTCTCTTTTACGTATCAACGGTGACAAAACAAACAGCCACTACTAGACAATTAATGGCTCTCTAGGGTTACTTACAGCTCCATTTTCCATTAACATTTAGAGCCTAAAAGGTGCTGGATGTTGATTACTCATGCCCTTTGCTTATTCCTAGCTTAATTACCTATACCATTTAATATTTAACTACCACTGTAATTTTTCTTTTTCTTCTTCTTTCTTTCTTTCTTTTTTGTTCTCTTTGAACTAGACATTGTTTTAATGCAACTTTGGTTTCTTTCTCTGCAGATTATGTCAGTTTCAGTCTTGTTTTCTCTGCTCAGAGCTGTGTTTCTGTGTGTATCTTATGACTATTGCTTGTTGATCCATAGGGTTATTATATAACATGAAGAATAATCATATGAACTGTCTCATTCCATTTCCCATCCGTGACTAGCTAGTTGTACATTTGTGAATTACAGTTTACCTGATGATAGTTATGGGTAAATTTTTTTTTATTGTTTTCCAAGCTTAAAATTAATTAACATATATATTTAATTAGGTGATTCTAACTCAGATCAACATGATAAACTAAAAGGCTTCAAACTATCTGTTCCTTATGCTCTCTTAGGTTTTGTGAGGCTACATTTTCTTAAATACATTAGGGTTCATGAGGCTACATTTTCTTATCCCTTTTCGTTCAGTAATGGCTAAGTAGTTATGATTAAGAAAAAGGTCAACTGGATTTCTATGTATATCATCGTTAACTTATGTTTTCTAGCTATAATTGAATACAATGTAACATAATTAAAGGTGTTTGTAGTGTGTAAGAAATAATACTAGAGTATATTTGGAAAGATGTTTTTTTTTTTTTCTAAAAATTATTGAAAAATACTTTCTTTTTTTTTAGTTTACACCAAAAGCATCCCTAATCATGTTTGTGCCGCGTTAGGCCCATAAAGAGAATCACTTTTTTACGAATTTTTTCCATTTATAAAGATCGAATACTTAATTTCTTACTTAAAAAATCCCGATCATTTCCCCATGGACCAACCATCGTTGGTAGTGAAAAATATACTGTTCAAAATACTATTTATTTTAACGAGAAAGATTTACCTAATATATGGAATGACGCATACACCAAACTAATCCAATAAAATTTTTTAGTTAAAAGGTGAATATGTGTTAATTCAGTCTGAAAAAAATAAAATGTTATCACATATTATAACAGTTTTTCTTGGATGACAATTAATTATTGATTTTAGTGTATGGATATGTGTTAGTTCGTAGCGAAAAAAATAAAATATTATGAAATTAGGTTAAAGTAAATTATTATTTTCATACATGGATGTACCTATATACCAAGTGGAATAAACATATCTTATTCTTTATAATTGAGAGGAAAAATTATAAAATACGTAAGTGATTTCCGGTAGGACATAAGTATAAACAATTATCTTTTTCTATATATATATATATATATCTAATAATTGTTTTTTAAACAAATCCAAAGGTAGATTTACATATTTATCTAGTACATTTTTATATCTAGATTACGATTCCTAATCCTATGGACACAACAGATGCATATAAATAAAAAAATTTATGACATGAACTTAATTTTCAATGTTCTCTTTAATTGAAGTACTTAAGAGTAACCGTTAATTAAACAATTAAATAAAGTAAATAACATAAACATTACACATGATTTTACTCTAAAACTACAAGCGCACCACCCAGTCACTTATTATTTCATTAAACGTATAAGTACATAGCATGCATTATGTGTGTATAAATATATATTAGTAGAAAACATTTTATTCAAATAATCTAGTTTTAAACATTTGAAACTTCATAAATTGTAAGCAATCAAACACTTAGACTATATATATAAAGTCTAGTCCAAAAAATTCAAAACACACAACAATATGTATAAAACGCCTGGATAGTAATGTCAAGACTAGAAAGAAAAAAACCCAGAAACCAGATGATTCTATTATTAATTTTTAGGTAGAAACAGAATGGTTGAGTATAGTTAGTGAGGGAGGAACCTGGCTGTTTATATTTTATGTTTCCTTTTAACAGCAGGTATTGAATGTTGTCTGCAACTGGAGCTAATCCATCTACGTACCCAAATCTTCAACTCTCTGCACCAAATCGAATATAATATTATATCAGACAAATTTCAGCCTTTGATATCTATAACAAGTAACAACTACTGCTGCTACTGAATATAGCCCAAATCTTCACTGTAAATGCGGCTACTCGACTCAGATATCAGACAGCATATATATATATATATATATATATTTAACTATTTACACACCTAGGATAAGACTAAAACTGGCAGGTGTGTTTATAGAGAGAAAATTGGACAAGACTACATGGTGAACAGTACGAGGAACGTATTTAAGGAGGAGATCTAATGGAAAAAGGTTTCAAAGATCTGTCTGTCTCCCTCTATATGTATATACATTAAAGCTACCGTATAATAGGTCACAGTACAGTTAAAGATCATATTTGTAGGTTTGGAGAACTAGAAATTTCTACATAATACGAGAAGGGGGAAAAATAAAGAAGAAGAAGAAGAAGAAGGATAGGTCACAGTACAGTTAAAGATCATATTTGTAGGTTTGGAGAACTAGAAATTTCTACATAATACGAGAAGGGGGAAAAATAAAGAAGAAGAAGAAGAAGAAGGAGCAGCACTTTAAAATACTTCAAGAAAAAGGTAGCTACTAAATTAACAGACCTCAAGAAACTAAAAACAGCTTTGTTAGTCTCTTCAAGCAAGGAAGACAGCTTCCATTAGAGTGAGCTTTGAAAATCTTGATGGAAAAGAGGAACATGTTTGTGGAATTTGAAACGAATATAACAGGAAAGATCAGTAGTTTCCTTGTTATATTAATTAATAATGTTATACTCATCAAGAATCAAGAAACACTCTTCAGTACCTTTAAGAAAAGAAAAGGAACTTTAAACAATGTTTTCCTTTAAGCATGAAATGAAATGAAAGCGTGCAATTGATAAAACGAGTAAACTTTTGCAATTATATGTACAATACATGAAAAGAATGGATATACATATATATTAGTATTGAACAAAGCAGATAAGTAATAATAAATTAAAGGCCTGAGATTCCATACTGTCACTCTGCAAAGCTTTCAGTGCATTTCCAAGCTGGTTTTTGCTTTTCTTGAAGATCTAATAACGCACATTAGACGGAGATTATTCAAATTATTTAGAAAAAGAACTGAAAAGAAAGTGTGCGTCACGTTCTTGACGGCAATGTTGCCCGATCTTGAAATTCCGGTGATAGAGCGAGAGGAAGAGGAGAGGAAATGCTTGTTTTAAGAGCGTGTGGTGAGGTTAAAGGCGTTTGTAAAGCAAGCTTTTTAAAAGGAGTGGAGGCGGGCACTGCCTTCGAGGTCTTTATAGGTACAAATTCTTGCTGACGGCTAAGAATTAATTTCAAAAATATTTATTTATGTGGAAATATTTTCATATTACTATATCACTTCTGCAATATTTGTCGTGATCCGAGAAAATAGTTTGTTACGCATATATAGTTTTAACAAGTGATAAATATTTTTTTATATATTTAGCCTTTATATATAATCAATAATTATTAATATATTCATTTTATATTCATTCAATACTTATCATATTTGAAAAAATAGTTTGTTCTAAAATATTTATCACATTTGTGGTTTCAAAGAGTAATAAATTTTTTTTTTTCATATTTATCCTTTGTATATTACCAATAATTGTTACTTCAATTTAATGATTTTCTTAGAAAATTAATATTAAATTAAAGGTAATAAAGACAATTTACTCAATAATTTATTATAACTTAGACAAATTTAATATTTTTTTTTAAGCATGAAATTCTAAATATAACAATTATTATAGAACACAGATAGTACTTCGATTTAATGGTTTTCTTAGAAAATTAATACTAAATTAATGGTAATATAGTCAATTTACTCAATAATTTATTGTAAATAAGACAAAATTTATAACTTTTTTAAGAAACATGAAACTCTAATCAATGTGACAAGTACTATGAAATAAAAGCAATAAACATTTTTTTTTGTTAACTATTACTTGCATCATGAGTAATGAGATATCTTAATCACATTTTGATTTAAGTTTTTAGTGCCTTTTGGTTGATGGGTCTAATAATAATGATCAAGCTTACTTTCTTTTCAACGGCTTAATAATTACCCCCTCTCTTGTCTTTATATAAAGAAATTTTTTAATTATGGTGTTTCTTTCGTACGCAAAACTTTAGTCAAAATGAAAACTTTAAAAAGTGTCAAATGAAAAGGTCCAAAATACCTAATATTAGCTATGTAATCCGCGTGCAAATTGCACTCTGAACGAGGAAAGTGACAAATAAAAAAAAAATACATTTAATTCATTTAAATTTTCAAAATCTGACTGGATAATTAATTTTCAATGTGTATTTTAACAGCGTGGTCGACTTTATGAATGTGAGCATAAACATGAGCGACTATTTGTGTAATTTTTCAAAATACAGACACACAATTATATGGTTACACTATAATTTTAAAGACTTTTATGTTGATATTACACCTTGTAAATATGTGCACCAATTTTGTTAACTCCAAATTACTTAATATAACTTTATAATTTAATTAAGTACTAATGAAAATTTCATTAGTATATTCTAAATAAGTTATACAAAATGAGAAAAAAAAAAAAAGCAATGTTAATTTTGAATTAGTTGTACCTTATTTGGACTCCATATGTTCATTATATTTGTGTGCATTTGTTTGGAATTGCTTAGAATTTCAAAAAACGAGAGAAATTCAAAATTTCAAACGTGAAATGTTAATTTGGAAAAGTTTGAAAAAACATTTAACGCTGTTAGCTTACAATTCCCTTCATTTTCGGCTGAAATTTCATAATTAATGATTTTTTAGGAGTATATCCGCGTGAGTCGGCTCTATATGAATTAAAGAGTCCACTTAAAGTTGTTCGGGGTAAAATATATATAAATTGGGAAAACTATTCAACTAAACTATAATTAATAAAAGTAAGCATAAACTGGGAAAACTATAATTGTTTAGGAGTAATTTTATCTTAAAATATAATTTTTTTTGAAATAATCTTTTTTTTTAAATAATCTTAAACTACAATTAATAAAATTGCAAGTTTGGAAATTTTTAATTTTATCTTAAACTAGTCAGTCCACAAGATGTGTGATTTTATTATTGTGTTTTTTTTTTTTTTTTTTAAGAACAAATAACGTTAATATGATTTTTTGTCTCATCTTTTGTTCTATATCTTAAGGTTTTTACAGATCAATTTTTAATTAATATTAAATGAATATAGTTGATCTGAGCGAACAATTTGATAAAATTATGAATGTTAATTTATAAAGTGATTAAATGAATTTTAAACTTTATTAATATTAAAATTTAAATAATAATATTAATTTTTAATATAAATTGAAAAAATTAAGAGTTTATTTAATTAAGTAACATTTGGTGGGCGTTTAGTTGATAGTCTTTTTTAATATTTTTCATTTTATTTTGAAATTAAATTAATGTATATTTATTTCATTAATTATAAAAAAGAAAATTGAAGAATTATTTATTACTTTAAATATAATATTAATAATAATAATATTATTATTTATTATTAATTATTAAAATAAAAACTTTGAATAAAAAATTTAAAAGTTTAATTATATTATGTAATATATTTATTTAGATGTGTAAAAATTAATTAATAAATCATATTCAAAATAATATAAAACTAGAGAGAAGGAATAGAATGAATGGAGAACAAAAAATGGTAGAATCGAGGAGTTCAATATTATGATGAGAAGCCACATATATATAGTTTACATAAAGTGGAACATATAAAAGTCTTATCACAAATAGAAAGATAGAGTTTGCAATAATTAAAGAAATACAGACTTTTTAGCCATATAGGCTCAACTTATTTTATAAACATCCTTTGAGTCTCCATCTTAAGAATATATCTCGTTAAAAACCTTACTAAGAAAAACCCTATGGGAAAAAAAAATCTTAGTGAAGGAAAAAGAGTATATTTTATTCTTTTTTAAATATGTGTCAAATACTGCCGTCATTAAAAACTTTAAACCAATAGAAATCAGTAGGAAAAAACGTTGTTTAAAGGGAAAAAGAGTACAATAGTATTTACTCCACGCCTCATAAGTATAGACCTTAACATGTTAATAGTATAATAATCTCATATATCTATCTCCCATCGGGATACTCAAAATACATTTTTTAACTCATTCAATTCTTCATATTCAAAAAAATAATTCAAATGAAATTTATAAAATGTTTATTCTAGCTCATATGATAGCAAGATACATTAGAGTTTTATGCACTAAAGATATGGCACTTCTAGGACCAATAAGTTTCTTAATTTTTCTCAAAATTGAAAAATAATCAATTTTTTTATCAAGTGAACCTCAAGCATTGGGATTCACATGAAATTAATTTTAAATTAACTTAGTCCATATATGTAGATTTATAGGCAAAAATTTTCATTTATAAAATCTTGAACTTCAAGATGAAGAAAAATTTTATATTCCAATGTCTTTCCATCTCAAACTCTTCTCTTGAATGAATCTATAATCTTTGGAAAGCTCTTTCAGGAGTTCCAATAATGTATCCTAACCAAATAATGACAAGGTTCATATCCAAATCTTCTTTATGAACATTAACATCATTATATAATATTCTTTTGAACAAATATTCTTAATCAAAGAGTCAACCTTACTCATGATAGCATATAAAGTAAATATCAAAAGTATAAAAGCAGGTGACTTTCACAAAAAAATAGATAAAATACGATATATAATCAGTAAAATAATATAATAATTTCTCCGCCCTAAAAATTATTAAGGCAGTTATACCATAACGTATTAAGATTTCTTTAATCATAAGTAATGTTTGAATATATTTCTCGGGGTCTTGATTTGCTTGTTTCAAAAACTTTTTTTAAATATTTCGATGAA